CCCTCGTTGGCGGAAGCGCGCCCCACAGAAGGCGTACCAGCTCGCGCTGCAAGAGAAACTCTACAATGACACCATGCACATCACGATCATGCGTCGCCTCATTGCCTGGTATCCTGCTAACTTTGGATGACAACATGCCCGCCGCCCACGAGATGAAGCCCTGGCTGAAGCTGAGGACGTACAATACCGCCTTCAACGAAGAGCTGCTGCATGGGCTGCGCGCTGGCTTCCCGACATCCTTCTCAACCAGCGGAGCATCGACAACCAGGCCGACTGGCAGAGCTGGTGCGAGAACTACGTGGCAAGCGTTCTTCTCAGAGATGAACTTCGCCCGCTGTGCCAGACCGACACCCAGAGGTTCTCCGTTGCGAGGGCGATGTGTCGTCAAGCATGGGAGGATGGCGCCTTCGGCCGCCGCCTGCTGGATCTCCGCTTGCCGGGCAACCCTGGCCCCCGTGCTGAAGACCTACGCGAAGCATCTCGACACGAAGCGGAGCTGGCTGCTGAGCATCGTGCCCGCCGACGCTGGGTTGATGCACTACGTGATGTACATCTTGACCCTGCCCCGCCTGGCGAGCCAGATCCTCCTGGTGACATGGAGACGGACGACCCCGACCTCGTTGGCGCGAACGCCCTCCCCTCCGACCTGAAGGAGCGCTGGCTACGGCTGAGGATTCACCTGGCCGAGCTCCCGCCCGCCAGACTGTGGGCAGTCATGAAGACCCTCAGTGGCGGATGGACGACTTCATACAGGATGCACGTGCTGCGCACCAAGCGGGGCTGCCACTTCGGCTGCGACAACAAGGACGCCATCGACCACTACCTCCGCTGCCCTCGTCTCATGCACCACGCTGCACTTCCACGCGGGCAGCTGGCACCAGAACTACTTCATCGCCTGGGCTTGGGCGGCGCGGAGCAGTCCTACGACGGGGGGAACGGCATCAGGAGCGCGGCCGCCCGCCTCGCGGTCTCGCGCCGCGCCTACCACATGTCCAAAGAGGCCGCGTTCGAGGGCCTGCTGACATACTCCAAGACCGTGAACTTTTTCACGGTCGCCCGCCATGCTCTGAGGCTGCCGCCTGATCTCACTGGCGGCGCTGGCTTGCGCTGCTCTGCCTCCGCGCCCCAGCCGCCTCACACCATTATAGACGAGCCGCCGGCGGCGCTCCGCGCCCCCACCCGCCGGCCTTTGAGCAGCAACAGACATCCGCCAGTGGACGTTCGCTCCTCCTCCTCCTCCTCCTCGCCCACTGCAAGTATTTTTTTGTCCCCAGCCATCATGTGGTGTTGGGTCTTCGTTTTGAAGAGACAGTCCCCGCGTCCCTCCCTCTTTCTTTCCTCCTCCCCCTCCTATCTCCTCTCACCATCAGAATCGCCATTCTGATTTCGGCGCGCCCCTTTGGGCCCACAGACGCAGCCCGCATGTGGGCGGCACCCCCTGTTCGGCACACCCCTCGCACGCTTCGTGGCCCCACAAGGAGCTCCACCTAAGGCCCCAATGGCGCAGCCCGCTTGTGGGCGATCCCCCCGTTTCGGCACACCCTCACACGCTTCGTGGCCCCAGAGGGAGCTCCACCCGATGCCCCAGAGGCGCCGCCCGCATGTGGGCGACAGCTACGTTTCGGCACACCCCTCGCGCGTTTCATGGCTCCGCAGGGGGTTCCACCAAAGGCCTTAGTGGCGCAGCCCGCGTGTGGGCGACGCCCCCGTTTCGGGACACCATTCGCGCGTTTCGTCGCCCCAGAGGGAGCTCCAACCCCAGTGGCGCAGCCCGCATGTGGGCGACAACCCTTTTTTCGGCACACCCCTCGCACATTCCGTGGCCCCACGGGGAATTCCACCCAAGGCCCCAGTGCCACCGCCCGCATGCGCCCCCCACACCTGATTCGGCACACCCCTCAAACGCTTCGTGGCCTCATAGGGAACCCCACCGAAGGCCCCAGTGCAACCGCCCGCATGCGTCCTCCGTGCCCATGTCGGCACACCCCTCACACGCTTCTTGGCCCCATAAGAAGCTCCACCGAAGACGGTATTTACATTTGCGGTTCTCACATCTGCATATGGTTGGGTCTTTCGCCAGGCTATTTGTCAGAGCGCGCATATCACCATGAAGTTGTTTTGGGGGGGTCCAGGTCCGCTATGACATCCGTCGGCGGATAGAACATAAGCGCGATGGGAACGGATGGGTTGGAGGGGTAGGATGTCAGATATGGCGCGAGCGCACCAAGCTTGCCTTTCCCCCCTCCATGTCCCCCTCTCTGTCCCTCTCCTTCGTCTCCTCCTCCTCCTCCTCCTCCTCCTCCTCCTCCTCCTCCTCCCCCTCCTCCCTCCTCCTCCTCCTCCTCCCCCCCTCCTTTTCCTCCTCCTCTCCCTCCTCCTCCTCCTCCTCCTCCTCCTCCCCCTCCTCTTGGGAGAGATCTTGAGGCGGGCCTCAAGATCTCTTCCGAGAGCGTAATCATCTGCAGCAAGATGGAAGATGCCCGAGTTATCTCACGTCGGCTTGCTGCTTGTGGTCACCGTGTCAAGGCCGTCGTACAGGCGGCGTACTTGGG